AGCACTCCTAGGGCACAGCTGTAACCAGCACTCCTCCTAGGGCACAGCTGTAACCAGCACTCCTAGGGCACAGCTGTGACCCCAGCACTCCTAGCACAAGATGAAAGGCAGAGGCAGAACTGTAGATGTAACATGAATTGCTAAACAGTCTTATTAATAAAAAAAACCCAGAGCCAGTTATTGGAGTGAACAACAAAAGATCAGAGAAACAGAACAGCCACAACCAACCTCACCTCATCAACTCCTCAGCCAATCCTGTTTCCTCAGACTGGAAGCCTCTGAGTCCTCACCCCTGAGGGTCTCAGTTGAACTGCTGCTAAAAAGCCTCTTTCCTGGTCCTCACGCCTTATATGCCTTTTTGCTTCCTGCCGTCACTTCCTGGGATTAAGGATGTGTGTTACCCAATAAAGGCATGAGAGCTCAAGTGCTGGGATTAAAGGTGTGTGCCAGCACGCCTGGTCTATGTCTAATTTAGTGGCTGGCTCTGATCTTAGATCCCCAGATAAGTTTATTAGGGTGCACAGTATATTGGGCGACAAAATACATCACCACACAGAACTGTGCAGAAGCGTGTGGATCGTCCAGACTGCATGCAGCACAGCAGCAGGAAGAAGAAGGTAGAGCGTGAGGGCTGACTCCTACAAGTTATCCTCGACCTCTGCAAGAGGGGGGGATATGGCGGAAGAGTACTTACATCTTCCCCTCCCTCCCCTCCCCTCCCCTCTCCCCTTGCACACACACAGAGTAAATCACTTTTAAGTTAAAAAAGGTAGGAGAGACAAGACTCCTGCACATGTTTGTAATTGTACACATATACACACAATGCACAACAAAAAATTACTTTTTGGAATTTAAAAATGGAAAAGATGGCGATGGAGAGACGGCTTAGCAGTTAAGCACACTTACTGTGCTGGGTGTGGCGACCCATGCTAGAAATCCCGGAACTCTGGAGGCCAGAGCAGGTAGATCTTTGGGAGTTTGAGGCCAACCTGGCCTACAAAGCTAGTTCCAGGGCCAGGGATGTTACGGGGAAAGCCTGTCTCGAAACCCCCGCCCACCCAAAAGAGAGCTCTTACTGGTCTTGCACTTGGGTTCGGTTCCCAGTTCTGTCTAAATCCAGTTCTAGGAGATCTGATGTCCTTCCTGACATCCTCAAGTACAGGGCACACATGGTGCATAGATGACAGAGGCAGGCAGAGTACTCCTCCACAGAAAGTAAGAAAATCTGTGTGTGTGTGTGTGTGTGTGTGTGTGTGTGTGTGTGTGTGTGTGTGTGTGTAAATCCTAATTCATTCATAGGCATCTAAAATGGATTTGCGTCTGTTTTGGGAGGGTTTCTTATGGGTGTTCTGGTGCTGTAAGAGACAGCCTGACACAGCAACACTGTAGAGGAAAACAGGTCATTGGGGATGCTCTATAGAGGGTTATTCAGTCCATTATCATCATGGTGGACACCATGGCTGCGGGTAGGCAGACGTGGTGCTGGAGAGGTAGCCGAGAGTTCTACATCTGCATCTGTAGACAGCAGAGAGAGAACCACTGGGCCTAGCTTGGGCATTTCAAACCCCAAAGCCCACCCACAATGACACACTTCCTGCAAGTGTGTCAAGGCCACACCTCCTGAAGCCATTCCTAAGCATTCAAACATGAGTCCATGGGGCCGTTCTTATTCAAAGCACCGCAGTTGGGTGTGGCGGAACTGAGAAGAGACTGGGTCTCTCTATGTAGTCCTGGCTGTCCTGGAACTCAGTAGATCCACCTGTGTCTGCCTCCCAAATGCTGGGATTAAAGGCGTGTGCCACCACACCTTTAGTCAGATCTCCTGTAAATTTTGAAGAAAGGTCAATTGTTCTACAAATGGCTAGATGCATGTGAATTTTGTAGAATACTTTTGTATGTAATGCTAGCATTTTTATTAAAAAAAGAAAAAGAAAAAACTAGCATAGGGCTGGAAAGATGGCTCAAAGTCAGACTGTGTAAACCATGAATACTGGTCTAGGTGGAAATTTGGTGAACAGGCTGGCACTTTGTGTCTTTAACTATGATAGAAGTGTTTCTAGAATTCTGGCACCAGAATACCATTTCTGTCTTTTATCCTGTCTGTCTTGGTTGCTCGGTGATGCCTCTGAAGGCAGCGGGCATACCCATGGGGCCCAGACATACACGCAGCCAAAACACCCCTACACATCACAGACGGCAGAAAATATTTACAGACCACGACTCTCAAGCTGCTGGGACTAAAGAAATTGATGGTCGGTTTGTTCCTCCCTTCCAGGGCAACCTCCAGCTGCTGCAGAACTGCCTTGCCGTTTTAAATGGAGACACATAGGCCACACTCTGCCTTCTGTTGAAAAGGGCTGCCTTCAAATCTCGTTTGTTTTCTCCATGACTTCCGGCATCTAAGCTCCCTGGGAACAACCGATCATCTGGCATGGTGCATCGGCTCTTCTTCTGAGAGACAGTGAAGTGGCCGGGCTCACCGGCCGCAGGGCAGCGTCTGCCACCCCGCACTTGACCTTCCGAGAAGCCCAAAGTCCAACTTCCTCTTTTCTTTAAGTAGCCTGTCTTAACTGTGTTTATTTCGTGCGTAGCGATCTGATGGCTGGCGCCTTATTTACCTCTCGCTCACTTGTCCAGTTTTAACATTCTCAAGAGTCCACTGTCCACACAGATAACGGTTGCCTTTCTGGATTTTTTTTTTTCTAAGCATCCTGTGCCCTGCGTTCTTTCATGTTATCCGTGTAAACATCTTAATGAGACTTACTTTGAATTAATGAAACGTAAAGTTTTGGGTCAGTTGTGTGAGCTTTATCATTATGGTCGATCTCTGAAGAAAAGCTGATGTGTTCGTATGTTTGCCTTAAACTTGTGAACTAAACCAATATTGTAAACCGCCCAGCGATACCAGCGGCGTTTGGACTCCGTGCTCCTTGTATCGCTCTGGAATTTGGGGTAGCGATAATAAATCTACTCCAGCATTATGCTTTACAGTGCAGGTTTTCTGTTTTCCTCCCCTTCTTTCTTTTGAAAAGGCCGATTGAACCAAGTTCACCGACGCTTTACCGCAGAGCGACCTGGTCTTCTGGGTGCCCTCCACAGAAGGAGCAGCTGGGCAGAGGCAGACGTCTGCCTTTTCCGGAATGCAGGAGCATCGCACTTCTCTGGGCCCGTCCCTAGCTCAGCCAACCGCGTCCCTCCTAGTTACCATGGCAACCATGGCAGCGTATTGACTGGCACAGAGGAAAACCCTCTGCTAGAAGGAAGAGCTCTTGAGTTGGTGAGGGAAGTAGATTCCCCGGGACCAAAGTTTGTATGCGGATGGGGTGCCCCGCCCGGGCTCTCTGACGAGAGGACGAGATCCCCGTTGCCAGTGTAAAGTAGGTGGAATGGATTTCTCTGTCTTTTTCCAAGTCCTCTCCCATGTGGAAACCACGGGGATTCGGGCTGGTCTTGCCTGGAATGGGTTCCTAGTTTGTTTACAGTTTTCCAAGCCGTCCGGAAGACTCCCGGGGCCGCCTCGCAGGCGGTGGCCCTGACCCCGCCCAGCCTTTCCCAGTGCATGTTCTCTGGCTGGCCGGTGTGCTGGTCGCTGTCCTCTCCGACTGACACGTGTCCCCGTGCTGTTCAGAGTCGGTGTTCCTGGTGTCGGCCGAGAGATCCTTTCTGTCCTTCGTGTCTGTGACCTCCCGTGGTAGAAACGCCCACACGGGGTCCACCAGTGGGTGAGTGCAGGACCAGGAGCCCTCATTCAGGACCCGTCCGACCCTCACCAGCTGCTCTTGTGGCCTCAATCCGGTTTGGGCAAGATTCTCTTGACTTCTGCCTCAGTTCTCTGCTCTAAAGGACATGTTGACCTACCTCACAGGGGTGTTGTGAGGATTAATAAATGTTGGTACCATGCTTTGGAAACGTGAAGGTGCTGTGTAAATGCTGAGGGATGGATGGTTGAGGGCCAAATTGTACGATGGTTCTCTCCCCCAGGGGTTATTGTGTTTTTGATCAACGCGGTCTCTTGTGGGGAGGAAGTGGAGTAGAGTGCACCTTTAGCCTCTGGTGTCTTTTGTTTTTTTACTTATTTTTATTTACTGTTTAGGGATGCTTTTACCTGACCACTGTCTGTGGACCATGTGTGTGCAGTACCAGAGAAGGGTGGGTGGAGAAGAGGGCATCGGGACCCCAAGAACTGGAGCCTCGCTCTAGGTACGGGAAAAGAAGGAACCCAGGTCTGAGGGAAGAGCAAGTCAGGGCCATCAATTGATTGATTTATATCCATCCATCCATCCATCCATCCATCCATCCATCCAATCTATCTTGGTTTTTTGAGATAGGGTTCCTCTGTAACTTGTGTAACTTGTCTGTCCTGAAACTTGCTCTGTAGATCAGGCTGGCCTCGAACTCACAGAGATACCTCCCGAGTGCTGGTATTAAAGGCATGAGCCACCACCGCCAGATCCTAACTTACATTTTTAAATGGGTATATACAGTGGTCGCGGGCAGGGATTCAGGAGATGGTCAGAGAGCAACTCCAGTGAGTCTTACCCCAAGTGCAGTGGGGGGATCAGATTCAGGCTGTCACTGTGGGTTTTCTTTGTCTCTTTGGGGGCACCACCCGGCGCCCAAATAAATCACACACAGAGGCTTAATTCTTAGTTATGAATGTCTGCTTTGAGCTTGGCTTGTTTCTGGCCAGCTTTTCTTAACTTTAAATCACCCTGTGTGCCTTTCCCTCTGGACTTTTACCTTTTCTACTTATTAACCTTTTCTTTCACTCTGACTCCGTGACTTGCTGTGTAGCTGGGTGGCTGGACCCTGAGGTCCTCCTCTTTCTCTTGCTGCTAGACCTCTTTTTCTCCCAGATTTCTCCTATTTATTCTCTGCCTGCCAGCCCCACCCATCCTTTTCCTGCTTCGCTGTTGGCGGATCAGCTCTTTATTAGACCAGTCAGGTGTCTTAGACAGGTACAGTAACACAGCTTCACAGAGTTAAACAAATGCATCATAAACAAAAGTAACACACCTTAAAATAATATTCCCCAACAGTCAGCCATGACAGCAAGTGTGTTTTTCCCCTAAGCCGATTTGGCAGGCCCTGGGTTCATTGTTAGAGTTTTTTAATTTTATTTAAACTTGTGGGGTGGGGGTAGGTAGTAGCAGCTGTACAGACTAGCCAGGGGACTTTGGGTAGGGGTTCCAAACATACATAATGAGTGGACAGTGCCAGGCTTTCTCACTAAGACCTGGAAAAGTAACATGTAGGGGGCTGGAGAGATGGCTCAGCTGTTAAGCACACCAGCTGCTCTTCTAGAGGTCCTGAGTTCAATTCCTAGCGACCAACCACATAGTGACTCACAGCCATCTATAGTGGGATCTGGGGTGCAGGCGGACATGCAGATGGAGCACTCATATACATAAAATAAGTAAATCGGGTTCTTTTTAGATTTATTATGAATACAGTGTTCTCCCGGCATTTATGTGTGTGCATGTCAGAACAGGGCACCAGATCTCATTATAGATGGTTGTAAGACACCAACCATGTGATCACTAGGAATTGAACCCAGGACCTCTGGAAGAGCAGCCAGCGCTCTTGTCCTTGGAATCATCTCCCCAGGCCAATATATCTTTTTTAGAAAAACAAAATCATGTAGCTGGGCATTGTGGCATTTTCCTGTAATCTCTGCTCAGGGGTGGGGGTAAGGAGGCAGGGGGATACTGCTGAGGCAGGGGGATACTGCTGCTGCCCTAAGATCAAGGCCAGGCAAGACCACAAGTGAAAACCTGCCTCAAAAGAACAAGAGACCAGGTGTGTGGTGCACACCTTTATTGCCAGCTGCAGCAGGTGTCGTTTCTGGTCACACCCTGAACTCCAGCTGCAGCAGGTGTCATTTCTAGTCACACCTGAACTCCAGCTGCAGCAGGTGTCGTTTCTGGTCACACCCTGAACTCCAGCTGCAGCAGGCACCATCTCTGAGTTTGAGGCCAGCCTAGTCTACATAGTAAGTTCCAGGCCAGCCAGGGCTACATAGCTGCTGCTCCCCAACACATCCCCTACTCCTCCCCCTAATGGTTTGGGGGCAGCAAGGTGACTCATTGGGTAAAGGTGACTGCTGCCAAGCCTGACAACCTGAGTTCGATCCCCAGACCCCATGGGGTGGAAGGAGAGAGCCAACTCCCAGAATTGGCCCTTGACCTGGACACGCTCGCTTGCTGTAGCACCCACACACGTACAACTAGATTTAATGAACGAAACCCAAAGGAAAAAGATCGTATGGGCATACTTAAGAGAGCCGCTCTGTGCCTGTGGGACAGGTCATTGACTAGCTGGCTGTCTGGCCCTGTATCCACTCTGGATTCCCTGCTGTGGGTGGTGTACATTGAACATTTACCGATCGTCCCGGGAATCTAGGGAGAGATGGCACTAGTGGTCACCATAAGCATGTGGGGTTCCCAGCCCAGAAGCAGACTTTGCCTACCCAGTGGGAGGCCCGGGACGTAGAGCTGAGCAGTCAAAGCGGTGTTTGGCAGCGAGTGTGAAGAAGGGTCGATCTGGAACCGTAAGAAGCCAGTTGACTTGATGACTTATTCCTACAGTGAGGCTGGAAGGCTGAGTGACGGGGAGCACGGGGCAGCAAACGGATCGAGAGAACCTCGGGTAGTTGGAATTCAAAACCTGCTCCCGTCTGGTCGCAGATTCATCTATCGAGAGCGGGAGTGAGAGGCCTGAAAGATGGTTCATCTGTCAAGATCCTGTCCTGCCCTTGCACAGGACCAGAGTGGGGGTCTCAGCACCCACTTTAGGCAGCTCACAACCGCCTGTAACTCCAGTTCCAGGGTCTCAGGCACCGTCTTGGTCTCTGTGGGTACTTGCACACAACACACATGTACATGTATGTTGTGGTGTAGCACTTTCCTGGGAGGTTGAAACTTCTTAAGCCAGGAGGTACACAACTCAAAATAGCTTCAAGAAGTCCCTGAAACTGACCAGACCCACCAGGCCCCCGTCCTCCCAGGAGGCTGAGAGTCCCCCTCAGAGGAGCTAGCTGCAAAGGAGCCTCTGAAAGCAGAGCAGAGGCCTGGAGGAGGTGGAGATCAGCCTAGACACTGGAGGGGACACGCTCCAGCCCGCTTGAGCTGCCTGCAGGCTGTGCACAGTGGACTGGGGTCCCGTGTGCTGGGGACGGCTGGGTGGTACAGCTGTCTTTGAGTCAGTTCTGCTCCCACGAGTGACTCCTCACCCACATCCTTGTAACTAACCCCCAGAAAACTCATTGGTTCACCAAGGGGGCCTTTACAGAATCCACACTCTTGTCTGCTGTGGGCTCCCCCTCTAGGGTGAGTAGCCGTGTGTGTATGCTGC